CAAAAAAAAAAAAAAAAAAAAAAAAAAAAAAAAAAAATTGCATCCCTCCCAATTTTTTTCTATCCCCGTTCTGTTTTTGTTTTTTTTTAAGTTTCATTAATAGACTTTATTTTTTAGAGCAGTTTTAGGTTCAAAGCAAAATTGCACAGAAAGTACAGACAGTTCCTGTATACCCCCTGCCACAAGCAAGGCCTCCCTGACTGTGAACATCCTGCAGTGGTACATTTGTTACAACTGATGAACCTACATGGACATATCATCATCACCCAAAGTCCACAGATTACATTAGGGTTCACTCTTGCTGGTGTATATTCTGTGGGTTTAGAAAGATGTATAATGACATGAATCCACCATTGCAGTATCATACAGAGTACTTTCACTGCCCTACAAAGCCTCTGTGCTCCACCTAATTCATCCCTCTTTTCACCATTAACACCTGGCAACCACTGATCTTTGTACTGTCTCCATAGTTTTGTCTTTTCCAGAATGTCATCTAGTGGATTCATATAGTATGAAGCTTCTTCATACTGGCTTCTTTCACTTAGTAATAGCATTTAAGGTTCTTCTATGTCTTTCCATGGCTTGATAGCTCATTTCTTTTTAGCACTGAATAATATTCCATTGTCTGGATGGGCCGCAGAATACTTACACATTTACCTACTAAAGGACATCTTGATTGCTTCCGGCTTTCTGTTTTTGTTTTTTCCCTGCGTAGTGCTCATCACCATCTAACATAATCTTTATTTGACTTTTTTATTTTTTGTCTGTAGCTCCCACCCAAACTACAGTATAACCTTTATGAGGGTGCGGGTTTGGGTTTTGTTCTCTGCTGTATCCCAGCACCTAGAACAGTGCTAGTGTGTAGAAAATGCTCAAGAAATATATGTTGAATGAAAGAATAATAAGCTATTTTCCAAAAGGTACAAAAGTTAGCAAATTTATGTCCAATCATACGGTACCGCATAATAAATAAAGTTCATTTCTAGCTATGTAGAGGTCATAGCTAATGTCTGTCCGTGATGTAGCCCAGATAAGGGAACATAGTTCAGATTTTTCAGATATTTGCTTCTTACCAAAATGTGAGCTCCATGAAAGCAGAGACCTATTCTTTCTTAATCACTGCTACATTCTGGGCACCCAAGAACAATGCCTGGCATATGGTAGGTGCTCCAACAATATTTATTGGATGAATAATCAGTTCATCTCAATTTATTGGTTTTCTTATTTAATCATTTGTCTTATCTGTCAGGTGCTTTTCGTGGATCAGAGAGTTGCTTAATAACAATTTTCTTTGAAGTAATAACTTAAATACACCACAGTTTGTCATGCTGTTTGATCCAAGCTCAACTATAATTTACTGCCATAAGCTGAAAAAAATAATATTATTATTTCATCTTCTGCATGGGGGTCACTAGTATGTTGGTTAAAGCACTGTCAGGAGAAAAAATATTTATGTGCAAATGTTTTATGAATATCATGTGCTAAAGGGTGAAGGCAGATGAGCAAATTCTTCAATGGCTATGGAAGTCAAATGGCCAAGGACTATTTAATTCATAAAATCAAAGATAAAACTAAGTAAAATCGTCCTTTCTTAGAAGTGGCAGATGCGGTAAAGACATAAAAAAGGATGATAGAGAATTTTTTAGTAGATGTATCCTTTTGCCCTTGAGTAAAAAAAAAGTTAAAACAAGAGAGCCTCGATCTTGTTGAGGAAGTATGGAAGGATCTGTTTCATGAAGGAAAAAATATAACATCTTTAAGGATGAATATAATATCTGGTGAGTGAGCAAGTTCTTATAAACTTACCCATCATTGTTAACATCTGATACTGCAATTGTATATCCAAAGTAAGATGCCATCTGCAAAGGAAAACCATAAGATGATACATTTTGTGCTCAAAAAGTCATTTTTATAGTCATCTCTCAATTTTCCCTGAAAGATTAGCCACATTGCAGCACATTTTTGCATTTAAATTCATAGACCCTTGGACATGGACAGAGTCTTCGAGTCATTTAGTTTAACCCCTGACCTAATGCATAACGTTCCTCACAACACCCATGACATCTGCTCGCACATCCTCTGGAGATGTTCAACAATAAGCCCATTCAGTTTGTAGATAAAACTATTAGAATACTTTTTGCTAAAATTGGTCCTCCTGTAACATCTGGTCCTTAATGCTCCTACCTAGTTCTGCAATCTTGAATGTCACAGAATAAATCTAATTCCATTTCCATATGCAATCTCCTATGGAAATGTTTTCAGCTGGCTTCCCATCTTTCTTAGAGATACCACATGGGATACCAAAGAAAAGATGATACCCAATGAGCACACTGACAGGAGAAGATAAGTAGGATGGACACCCTCTGCTCTGGACTCTTTATATCACTGAAGCATAAAAAGGTTTTAATTTGAGGGTAAACCATGTCTCTGTATCAATTCATATTGAGTTTATCGTCTGCTGAGGTTTGTAAGTCTTTTCTGAGTGTAACCAGTGTGCCTAATCTCTCTACTTTCTAGCTCTTATATTTTTGTTTTCAACCTATGTTTTCAAGGTTTATAATCTCTTCAGATTTGGCCAATAGTTTTAGCTTGCCAAGATTTTTCAGTTCCATATTCTGCCATCCAATGCTTTAGCTCAGCGGTCCCCAACATTTTTGGCACCAGGGACTGGTCTCGTGGAAGACAGTTTTTCCACCAACCAGGTTGGGGGGGGGGCAGGAATTGTTTCGGGATGATTCAAGCACATTACATTTATTGTGCACTTTATTTCTATTATTATTACATTGCAATATATAATGAAATAATTATACAACTCACCATAATGCAGAATCAGTGGGAGCCCTGAGCTTGTTTTCACTTGCCACTCACTGATAGGGTTTTGATATGAGTCTGCAAGCAATTGATTTATTATGGTCTCGGTGCAGTCAAACCTCTCTGCTACTGATGATCTGTATCTGCAGCCCCTCCCCAGAGCTAGCATCACCACCTCAGCTCCCCCTCGGATCATCAGGCATTAGATTCTCATAAGGAGCACGCAACCTAGATCCCTCGCGCGTGTGGTTCACAGTAGGGTTTGCGCTCCTATGAGCATCTGATACCACCGCTGATCTGACAGGAGGTGGAGCTCAGGCGGTAATGCGAGCAATGGGGAGCGGCTGCAAATACAGATGAAATTTTGCTCGCTCACCTGCCGCTCACCTCCTGCTCTGCAGCCTGGTTCCTAACAGGCCACAGACCAGTACCAGTCCATGGCCCAGGGGTTGGGGACCCCTGATTTAGCCAGTTTAGCTTCCTATCACCTACAAATTTAATCAGCCTACAGTCCCCTGGAAAGTGTGCTCCACAGAAGGCAGAGAGTTCCATCTGTGTTGTTCATTCTTCTCTCTGCCCTGTCTGACCAGTGTTTAGCTCAGAGTAGGTGCCAGGTGCTAGATACTCTTTGCAGAGGAAAAAAAATAGATGAGTTACCAAGTGTGACACAATTATTCAATTCTCCCACCTTTTTTGTCCATTCCAAACATATACAGTTGCTGTAGACTGATTGTTTATGCCTCCCCTCCTCCAAATTCAAATATTGAAACCTAACTCCTTATATAATGGTATTAGGGAGTGGGGCCTTCAGGAGGTGACTAGGTCACGAAGGGTTGAGCCTGCATGAATGGGATTGGTGCCCTTAGAGAAAAGACACCAGAGGGCTCTCTAGCCCTTCTTCCACCAGGTGAGGACACAGCAAGAAGATGGCTGTGAACAGGAGGCAGGCTCTCAGCAGATACCAAATCTGCCTACCCCTTGATCTTAGACTCCAGAACTGTGAGAAATAAATGTTTGTTGCTTTAGCCGCCCAGTCTATGGTATTTTTATTATAGTAGTCCATGGACTAAGACATGGGTGCCAGGTGCAAAATACACTTTGCAGAGGAAATGAATGCCTCATTTAACTGCATCATGCAATAACTCAGTTCTCCCACCTCGTTTCTCTATTCCAAACACATACAGTGAAATTCTTATTTCTGGGTGGCATTGTGTGGTCTTCACTCAGAGGAATTTCATCACTTATGTATTAAGTTCTGAGGTTCAAGATTGCAGAACTAGGTGGTATTGAGGATGAGAAGTTACAGAAAGGCCAAATTTAACAATGTTTAAAGAGCTTTTAATGATAAAAATGTGAAATGAAAAGACAAGAGGAGAAGTCTTGCCAGATTTCCATTAAACCATTAATTGTCACCACTTGGGAATCATGGTTCAGAATTTATAAATCCACCCAACTTCACTATCATCACAGCCTTATATCTCTATATTTACCACAAGAGTACCATGAGGGACATTGTTAAATGCTTTGTTGAAAATTGCACAGTAACGGATAGACTAGAGCCCCAGTTTGGGGGAGGAAATGTCAAAAATGCTCTGTGTTCTTTAGAAAACTCTATTTGCTTGACAAATATATGATTCTAAATTTCTGTGTGTAGCTAAGAGTTGAGCATTTCAGGATCTTAAACCTGGATCCTCCTGGGATCCCGTGGGCCAAGATGTAACTTGGCTGGAGTCAAGTGTGAGGCTTGCTAGAAGCTCCTTACCCTGGGTTGGTGATTAGGAAAGGAAACTGGTTGACCAGAGAAATGAATTCAACTCACGATTGGCTCCCTTAGACGGGAGTATCACATTCATCCTTTAAAGAAATGTGACAGATTTCAACAGGTCAAAAACCCAGGAAACCCAGGGTAGTGAATGAAGTGTGACCTCAGGCCGTGTTACGTCAGGAGGATGACAGCAGCCTGTTTGCAGGCAACTGACCCATTGATAATAAGACCCCAGCCAGTGACAGTGGGTATGGGGCCATACCTACCCCCTGGGGGGAAGGGGCCAGAACCAGAGAGCTTATCTTCCATATAATGTTGGGATTGGGGAGGGTTCCAGTCACTGAGGACAGGAAGGCAGAGCCCAGACCCACTGACTGACCAACATGTGAAACCTACAAGAAGCCTGTGTCTTCCCCGGGGGGAAGGCGTGTACTCAGAACTCATCACCGCGCACACTACATAAGGACCGCAACATAACAGGATTGCTCTCAGATTTCAGCAATTAGTGGCTTTTGGGCTTTTAGGGAGCATATTCTGCCTTTACATCACTTATCATTTTCTGAAATCATCATGGGCATTTACTTGTTTCTTTATCGTCACCCCCCATCAGCCTCCCCCGGACTGCTGCATGAGAGCTGGGATCTTGTCTGTCTGCTACTTGGTTACACTCCCAGTGCTCAGAAGAGTTTCCAGCACGTAGTAGGTGCTCGGTAAATATTTATTTTATGAATGAATAAATAACATATTACAATATACTGTTAGTGCAGAGTGACATTATTTGATTCTAAAATGTCTTCACCTGTTCACCAGTGAAATTCTGAATAAAGGTCATATCTGTAGAGTTAATGATTGAAACCTGAAATCATAGAAATTAGATAGGTTACATCATTTGGCATAGAATTGGAGCACTTTTTAAAAAGTTTAACTTAAATCATTTTAAAATTTTTGTGAGGAGTCATAAATGGTTAGCTCTATATAAAAAAAAAAAAAAGCCCAAAGGAACGATCTTTAAAAGATCCAACTGAACTTTTTGTTTATGGTGAAATCTGGGATCCTTTCAGACAAAATGCATGCTTACTAATCTGATGTAGAGAAATCTGAATTCAGGAACACTGAGAGCACCTAATCTGATAGTTAATTGATCTAATCAAAAATTTAATCTAAGTTTCACTTCTGTGCGTTTGCTGTTATGAGAAATTGATGACTATGGTTCTCTGCAAAAAAATGAAATTTTAAAGTATTATCCATGGAGCAAAAATATTCCTTTTAAATTCTATCCAGACAGGGCTTCCCTGGTGGCGCAGTTGTTGAGAGTCCGCCTGCCGATGCAGGGGACGCGGGTTCGTGCCCCGGTCCGGGAAGATCCCACGTGCCACGGAGCGGTTGGGCCCGTGAGCCATGGCCGCTGGGCCTGCGCGTCTGGAGCCTGTGCTCTGCAATGGGAGAGGCCACAACAGTGAGAGGCCCGCGTACCAAAAAAATAAAAAATTCTATCCAGACAACCTAAAATGTATAGATATTATAAGTTTACCAGACTTAAACATTATTTAAAACATAAGTTTTTCTTTTCATAAGGTCGATTTATTTTCCTTTCCTATTTTTATGGTAACTGGTTGTAATGGGTTTGAATAGTATCCCTCCAAAACTCATGTCTATCCCGAACTTCAGAAGGTGACCTTATTTGGAAATAGGGTCTCTGTAGATGAAATAAGTAAAGTTAAGGAATCTTGAAATGAAATCCTCCTGGATTTAGGGTGGGCCCTATGTCCAATGACTGGTGTCCTTATAAGAGGAGGATAGGACACACATAGACACAGATGGAAGAGGCCATATGGAGACCGGGGCAGAGATTCAGGTGAAGCTCCCACATGACGAGGAAAGGCAGGGCCACCTGAAGTTGGCAGAGGCAGGAAGAATCCACCCCTACATGCATGGGAGGGATGTGACCGTGCCGATCACACCCTGATTTCAGCCTTCTGGCCTCTTGAACTGTGAGAGAATAAATTTATGTTGTTATAAGCCCCCCAGTTTGGGGTCATTTGTTATGACAGCCCTTGCAAACTAATACACTAGTGAAATAACAATTGACCTTATTATGTCCACCGTATGGGACATATTAAAATGCTGATCACATCAACAATGGGATCCTCTGCAACTATTCCCAGATTATGCACATGCATAGGGCTAGGCTAGCTTCATGGGCACGTGACCTGTGCAGTCAGTCACAAAGGGGTCCCACATGCAGACGAGCCCTACCCACCCTTTGGATAGCCCAGCTGTCACTGTCCTGAAATTCTTAACAATTTTGAACAAGGGGCTAGGCATTTTCACTTTACACTGGGTCCCACAGACTATGGAGTTGATCCTGCACCCAGATCAGAAAAGAATCTAACCTCCCTTTTCGTAAGCAAACAAGCGTGGATAAGTAGTGCTCACTATTAAAGGGCATTTTAAAAGATTTGAAAACTGTATGCAGCAAAATGTTTCTTTGCGTATGTAGACAATGTAGCATGTAACGCCTTCTTAGTACTCACGCATCCAAAATTCTGTGCTCCTCTGGGAACCCCAGCAACCAATTCTGTGATGGAAATAGTCATTTACAAGGTGAGTGGCATAGTACACTGTAAAGCTATACGACAAATCAGCTAAAGAGGGTGCCTCTTAAACGAGTAACTATCATGGATCCTGTAGAGAGATGGAGGTTTGAAGCCACAGTTTCACACTGGCTTTTGCTTCTGCTACAGACGAAAGAAAACAGAAGACCCAAAGTCGTACTTTGAGATTTACCTGTCTCCATCACATTCTCCATGTGTTTCTGCCTCCAGAACATAAGCCTGGGTTCTCAGATCTGTGTGTGATTTGTCAGTTAAACCTTGTACTCTGATTTCCCCAGTTTTCACTGTCTTTCTTACTAGTCTTTTGTACTAGTGTACAAAGTAACAGCTCCTGTCCCACTAATGTGTTCAAACAATTTCAGTTACCTAAGGAAAAGCCACATACCACAAATGATTGAGTCTTGCCCCCTGGAACAGAATTATAGGACAACCTGGCAGCCAAGGGTACACGAGGAAGGGAAGCTTCAATAATAGAGGTAGAAAAAGCAACTCTGGTGAAAAGCAGGGAGCATATTCCAATGCGCAATGATATGGCTCTAGATTCAGGAAATAGTGGTTTCAGTCCTTGGGTCTGCCATAAACCCGGGATCAATCACTGAAACTGATTTTTTCCAGTCACCTACAATAGATGGGAGTTGGAACTGCCTGATTATCAAAGATCTTTCCAGCTCTCATTTCTATAAATCTAAACTGTCATTTGTTTCATTGGGGTCAACATTTTAGTTTAATTTAAAGAGAGGGGGGGGCTTCCCTGGTGGCGCAGTGCTTGAGAGTCCGCCTGCCGATGCAGGAGACGCGGGTTCGTGCCCCGTTTCGGGAAGATCCCACATGCCGCGGAGCGGCTGGGCCCGTGAGCCATGGCCGCTGAGCCTGCGCGTCCGGAGCCTGTGCTCCGCAAATGGGAGGGGCCACAACAGTGAGAGGCCCGCATAACGCAAGAAAAAAATAAAAAATAAAAAAATAAAGAGAGGGGGTCTGGAAAAGAGTCCCCTTCCATTCAAATTTCCCTTCGCCCAAAGCTGGTCCTAAAGGTATAGCACAAATTCTAGCATTAATTCTATCTGATGGAATAAACTCTAGCAGAGTTGGGCGCTCATGCTGTTGGAGCATTAATCATCAGAGAAGATCCATTTGGGCCTAGATGTTGGACTTTTCAGTAGTAAATTTACTCATTCAATCAACATATAAATGTTAATTGCAAACATAGGATACAGCACGGAGCAAAGACAAAATTCCCTGCTCTCATGGAGCTTATACTTGAGCTGGGAGGGGCAGTCAATTTGAAAAGTAGAGTCAAATGTCATGTTAGAAGGGGATGAGTATAGCGCAGAAAAACTAAGCAGTAAAATGGTACTGGGAGTGCTGGAATTGGGAGGCGGAAGGAATTATGATTTATTGGGGTGGTCAGGGAAGGTCTTGGCAAGAAGATGACATGTTACCAAAGACTGAAGAAAGTGAAGGAGTAAATATTATGGAGATCTAGGAGAAGTATGTTCTAGTCAGAAGGAATAGCGTGTGCAAAGGTCCTGAGGTAGAAGTGTGTCTGGAGTATTCAAAGAACAGCAGGGAGGGCAGGGTGGCTGGAGTGGACGGAAGGAGTCAGGGGTAAAGGACTGGGAGCTGAGGTCAGAGTAAATAGGGGCCTCATGCACAGAGTCTTTCAGGTCATTGTGAAGACTTGGATTTTAGACAGAATGAGTTGGGCAATCACTGGGTGCAAAGAAGTTACACCACGTGACTTCTGTTCGTCAAGGGCCACGTTGGCTGCTGGATCTAGGGAAGACCACAGGAGGGCCAAGATGAAAGCAAAGAGGATCAGTTAGGAGGCTATTGCCACAGTGCTGATGGGGGCTTGGATCAGAGTGGAGGCTGTGGAGGAGGTGAAAAGTAGGCAGATCCTGGCTGTCTTTTGAGTTTAGTTAGCAGGATTTGCTCATGGATTAGATATGGATGGGGTGTGAGAGAAAGAGCACAGTCCAAGGCTGTTGCAAGGTTTTTTGCTTGAGCAGCTCGGAGGATGGCGTTGCCATTTACTGAGATGGAGCTGATGAAGGGTAGAGCATGTTTAAGTGGAAAGATCAGGAGTTCAGGTATAAGCTTATTAAGTTTGGAAGAGCCATTCAAATAGAGATGTTGAGTGTTGAGTAGATTCTAGACCTTACACCGCATTCCAGCTTCCTGGACACAGGTATGGATGTTTACTAGGGGCACCTAAAAACAGACCACAGTCAGATAGAACAGAGCTGACTGATTTCGAGATCAGGCTTGCCAAACAGGAAAGACTAAGGGGATTATATCAAGTGAGATACCTGGCCACCATGGCTTCTCATTTCCCACAAACATTCAGAATTTGGTTTAAAAAAAAAAAATCAGCCCTCACACTAGTAACTTTGGAGCCTGCAGCCTCATAATGGCTATAACACAAAGGAGTTATTAAATGTAGTGCTGATTAAAAGTTTCAGAATTGTTTAAAAATCACAGTCCTAAAAGAGCTTTTTAAGGTCACTGCACTTTTCCCCGTGTTTTATATTGGGCTGGCCAAAAAGTTCGTTCAAGTTTTCAGTAACATTGCATGGAAAAGCCTGAATGAATGTTTTGGCCAATCCCATAGAGGGCTTCATTTCAACAATGTTTCTCACCTTGCTGAGAGTCCCCAGTAAATTCCCCAGCAGCAACTGAATATCCTGTTTTAAAGCAAGAAACAAGCGAATCACACGTTTGAAGGCTTTACAAATGATCTATATCTAGAAATATGAAGGCACTACCATAGTAGTACTTTGTGCAGAAATCCCAACAAATCCTATTACATAAAAGTTTAGGGTTCTATAAAGAGAAAAATTAATCAAACCAGGATTTATACTAAATCTTGGAAGTGTAATAGATCTGCTACTTCTGAGCCTGGCAACACCTTTGGATTCTGAGGTCCCTTTTAGAAGTAGGAATGCTTCATTGCCCACCTTGACGTGTGAATGGTGGTTGCTGCATTTTAAGAGTTGCTGACTCATCATAATCAGACATAATTACTCTGAAAGGTATCTCTTGTGCTCAGGTTTTGCAATTTCTGATCACCTACAAGGCCTACTTCCTAATACCTTTAATGATGATTTCCCACAGACTTCACTTGGCTCTAAAGTGAGATGAGGTGATAAAAGATAACTACAGTTTTTAAAAGTTCATCAAGGAATCAAAATGCCAATACGATACCAAAGGTGGCAAACAGTAGTGATGAAATGGCATTGTGTGGTTTGCACGTAATAAATTTTGAGAACATTCTAGCAACTGGAAAGTCTCTTGCTCTTTTTAGAAACTGGAAAGGGTCATATCATGTTGCCCAGGTAGTACTGGGCATCCTCACTAATACGTAGTATCTACGACTGGTAGAATATTTTATTTTCAAGAGATTGTCACGGAGCCTATAAAACAGCTATGAAACTATGGAGACTACATATAGTGGCTGAATCAAAAGAAAAGAAAGTTAAGAGTCCACTTGAAGCTAGTAAGAGAAGAAAATTTGCAGAAGGTGCCAAATATTATAAGTGAGGAATAAAATTTGCTTCCACATTTAACATGCTTGTCTTTTGAGAAACCGCAAATGTCTTGAGCAGTGCATCTCACCAAGGTAACTGTCATCGTAGGAAGCAGGAGCCACTTCTGTCTGCTTTTCTCCAGCCAATTTTCTCAGGATATCCTTGAATGAGTAGTTTGCAATGATATCTGCAATACTGGCAGTGATCACCTGACCTGTGTTCAAACAAATGAATAGATTAAATGAGAGGCAGGCCCTCTCCGCACAGACACAGGGTGTCTGAACAACACACACGCCCTTGAAAATGGTCATGAGGTTGCCTGCATTTTTGACAATGAATTTTCCTGCCTGGCACTAGAACTGCAGGCTAAATTTGCTGACAGCTGGTTAGAGCTTTCCATTCTGATAGAAGAACCAAAGATGAACTATGTAATTGTTTTCATACAACATTTATTTTTTTCTGTTGTTTAAATTAAGGTGTAGTTGGTTTATAATATTATGTTAGTTTCAGGCACACAGCATAGTAATTCAGTATTTTTATAGATTATACTCCATAACAGGATAGACATGAATCCAAAAGATGGCCAGCAATGTTCCACTACAACTTTTATGCATTCCTATATTTATTATGGAAATCTAAGGAAAAAGTGTGATCTCACGCTCTTTGGGAGAAAACTGGAGGAATGCTTTCAAGAGACTAAAATTTAATATTAATTTTAAAGCCAAACTATTCCTTGGGAATTCACACATTCCCACAGTCTTTCTGTCTGAAGTTCCAAAAGAATAAAACTGTTAAATCAGGCCGTAAATATCTCCGAGTGACCTTGCCTGAAATGACTGTTCTTATATTAAGACAATCGTAATTACACATGAGTTTCTGAACAATGTCTGTAGAATTTGCCAGTCTTCTCTGGGTTAAAGCTAAATATCCCCTTCCCTGCTCCCAATGCCTTTGCTTATTTCCTTTAGTTCTTCTATAAATATTATAATCTTAAGACTGACTGAGTAAAATTTTAAATTATCTATCTCAGACAAATGCTCCCTATCCCCTTGACATGGCTAATTGTCAGCATACATCTATATCAGGCATTTTTTTTTCAACGTAAGGAAAGAATTATGTGAAATTAATCAAGTGCATTAGAACAAAATCTTTTTAAACACATCACTTTTATTTTATACCCATCCTCTTTATAAAATATATTGTTTTCCAGTTTGCAAAATAATGTTTAAAGACTGAAAGGTTAATTATTTGATGTTCATAGTTGTACGTGTATGAATTAAGCTTAACAGTAATTTCATGTAAAATTTTATCAGAAATCCATCTCGCCTGTATCTTTCCTGTTGGCCTTTTAAACATGATCAGGTCTCCTCCATTAAAAAAAACAAAACCCAAAAAAACTTCACTCAACTATTCATCTCATATTCTTTTCTATCCTTATTCTAAAATTTACAGCCAAAATTAAGTCTGTAATCTCTCTTTAGGCATCCCATTCACATCCACAGCTTTGTTTATCACCACTATGCTAGTTTTTATTTTAGCCTAGATATCTTCTCTGAGTTTAAGCCCATACATCTAAATACTTATGTGAAAAGTCTTGGACATCTCAAACATGTTCATACTCAACATAACCAAAAGTAAACTCATCATCTTCCTTCCCAAATCCACTCCAAACCCATGCTCTTCTGGCTTTCTCCATTTCAGGGACTGGGACCCACCTAAAACCGTTCAGTTACAAAAGTCAGAAACATATCCTTGGCATCCTCCCTATTCACCCACATACATCCAAACCATCATCCAAGCTGTTTATTCTGCCTCCGAAGTGTCTCTCAAATTCCGCCCCTTTCTCAGTCTGTACTATGACCACTCTAAGAAGCAAACATCTTCATCTGAACCTTACAGCTGGTTTACCTTATAGACTTAAAACTAGCCTATAACCTTAGAACTCGTTTGCTGATACTGCACTTTGGCCAACTGCCGATCCATTTTCCACACTGAAGCCAGCGTGATCTTTGTGTAACCCACACCCGATCATAGCATCCCATGCTTCAAATTCTCCAGTGGTTTCCCGTTATTCTCAGAACAAACAACACATTCTTATTCTACCTCAGGCAATCCATTTAAACTCCAACCATCCACCGGGGATTTCTCATTGTTTTGGAGATAAAGACAAAACTGCTTACCTGGGGCTGCAAGCCCTGCAGGGAGGGTGGGACCCCTCCATCCCACTCAGCAGCTCTTAACTCTAGTCCCCTGATTTCCCTCCATTCTTCAGCTCACCGGGCTCCTTTATGCCCTAGAACATTTTCACACAACCCTTCCTCTCTTCGCCTGGTTACCTCCTACTCGGGGTTCAGAGCTCAGTTCAGGGTTGCTGCTTCCAAATTCGTTGACCTTAAGGTTGCTGCCGGCTTATGTAACACCTTTTTAAGAATTAGAGGAAGTTATCCCCCCTGGGCAGACGCCATCATGCACCTGAGTTCAGGGCTCCCTAAGCAGAGCACAGGTTGTAATTTCATCTCGTCAGCCAGTGTGCAGAGGTCATGGCCCTGTCTTGACATACCTTCCTAGTGAGTATCATGCCTGGAGTTTCTTAAGTACTCGTGTGAGTATTCGATTAATGCCTGCATCTTTCCGCAGATGCTAACCTCTGCGGGTTACTCATTATTGTACCCTCAGCATCTAGCACAAAGCCTGGCATGGTCTCAATAAGCATTTGATGAATGAAGGAATTAAGTTGCAACAGTATTTTAAAATATCATTTATATCACAAAGTACAAACTGAAATGATGCTTCCTTCATTGGAGAAACTACCAATATGGAGATAAAATTAACGTAATAAAAAGTCAACACTTGATGTTACTTCAGTTTCATCTCCCTGTTGGAAACAACCCGTGGGCATTTCTTCTCTGCTAACAGGACCTACCTTGCCAATAAAAACTGCCAGGGCCTCCAACTATAAGGTCTCCATTCTACAAAACAGAAACGGCAACAACAATTGGAAAAGAAAAACAGTTTCTTTTTTTTTTAAGGGTGAGAAATCATTGCTCATAAGCATTGCTCTAACAATTATACATAAAAAGTAATTTTTAAAAGAGGCCCTGATATCTGAGTCATGCAGGTCATTTTCTTTCCTTTTATTGCTTTCAATTATTTAGTGTGTTATCATATCAAATAATTTTAATTAGATTCAATTAGGTAAGTAAAATTCTCTCCCCTGAGAATATATAAATTCAGTTTTTTGGCTCTGCCTCAGGTAAGCAAAATATCTAAATCTTCCATGCTGTGCAATTTAGTAGATATGGTCTTTTGAACCTTAGCAATAAAAAGAAAATTTGGTTTCTGTTTAAGGCCACAGTAATGCCTGTTTTCTTTTTTTTTCTATACATCTGCAAACACACCCCTTCCCAGGAGAGGGAGTGACAACTCCAGACTAGAAAATAAAAACTTTCCTTTCTACTTAGAGCCCCACCTTCCTTATCCTGCATCCTTAACTTTTAGTGTGGGGGGGGGGGG